GGAGTATAACCCTTGTTTGGCCTCTTAGAACTTTTAAGTTTTTTCTTATCGCCTTTGCTAGTAATCAAACTCCGATACGAACTGTGGAAGACTACTTGGTAAAGTGAGTTTTAAAGAGTACAAGATCGGCTTACTTGCCTCTTGTTGTGTTATTTTCTTGGAGTGACTTGTGAGGTTTCTTGCTTTGTTGAATTTTCTTCCTTTTATTTTTATTTTACTTTAAAATTTTCTTTTGAGTGTTATGATTTCAGGATGGGCGACAATAACAACAAAAAACTTACGGCTATCTTAGCCACACTTACCCGACTCACGACTCAAGTTGAAAGATTTGATGAAATCGTGAGAGAACGACAAAAACCACAACTGGATCTACCAAACCAGAATCCAAGACCTAACAATGCTGAACTTTTGGTACCCGGGCGAGAACAATCACGTTTTCAAGCACCCGAACTCTTTGCAAAACCAAAGTTCACGATCCCGTCTTTCAAAGGAGACAATGATCCAGACAGGTACATCGAATGGGAAGGAAAAGTTGATCTCATGTTTGCATACCATGACTGCCCCCAAGCTAAACAAGTTTACCTCATAACCACAAAATTCGAAGGATATGCTCGAACTTGGTGGATGCAAACAAGGAAAAAGATCCAGAACTTCCAAATTCCAACAATCACTTCTTGGACCGACCTCAAACAAACCATGAGGAACCGATTCCTACCGAAACATTATACACGAGAAGTTAAACAACGACTACACCGACTTCGACAAGGTAGAAGTTCAGTTGAAGATTACTACAAGGAGATGCAATCCTTACTCAATAGGGCTAACATAACCGAAAAAGAAGAAGTCACCGCGTCAAGATTCGTCGTCGGCTTAAACTCAAACATCACTGATCTTCTTGATCTACAAGGGTACGAAAACCTTGAAGATACACTAAAGAAAGCAATGACAATCGAAGCACAAATCCAAAGGAGATCTCGATTCAGTGAACATTACCAAGGTACTTCAACCTCTTACCAAGGTAATCCTTCAAATCCTTCCTCATTTTCTACTCCATCTTCTCTGAAAAAGCCAAGAAATGACAAACCTGACAAGGAGAAAGAACGGCCAGCAAAGAATGACACACTTCCAGTCCCTAAAGATCAAATGATAATTTGTGAGGAGGTAGGGAAAGCAAAAAAAGAAAAAGTTGAGAAAGAGGCAAATGCAAAAGAGGTCACTAGTTATAAAAGCCAAAAGAATAATGACCCATGGGAGGTGAGTGAACCTAAATGTGAGAAGAAAAGAGTGACTCAAAATCTATGTGTGAGCACAAAATAATTGAGAGAGAACCTTCTTTACAAATAACCTTTCATCCTTGTTCGCTTTAGGGAATCAATTGTTTCGATTTCTAACATTAACAAGGATTTGCGTAGTGTGTTTTCATCTCTTTTACAGGATTTTCGAGAAGTGTTAGGTGATCTACCTAACAAACTACCACTGAGAAAACAATGCCAAATCAATCTAATTCAAGGTTCCATCATACCTCGTCAAACATACAATCTCGAAGAAACCAAAGAGGTGGATTTGTTACAAAAAGGCTACATCCAGGAAAGCCTTAGTCGTGACGCCATTTTAATGACGAAACATGATTTGAACAACACTACAGACTTTATAGTTCATGCACAGGAAATCCATGTAAATGATGAAATAGTAAAAGCAACACGAGACTGGCCCACACCATCTTCCATAGCCAAGAGTTGTCGAATAATATTAGGTGACCCTCCTGACGGGTTACCACCTGAAAGCCCTAATCACTATGCCATATCAATGAAGAGTCACGATTTACGGGAGTCCAAAGGTAAGTATTTTATTACTCATTTTAATGACAATGTAACATACTTCTTCTCCTTCTTACAAGGTAAGGCTCGTGAAGTTGTCATCCATACTAAACACAACTCCTTTAAGTGTGTAGCTGACCGAGGTAAGCAAAACACATTAGACGATGCACTACCACGAAGGTATACTCTTAAGCATGCTACTATTCCAAGAATTGAACATATAAAAGATATATATCACGATAACTCAGATATTTCTGATATTTCTACCCATACTTTTAAAAGTACTTTTAATGAGTTTTATCTTGTATATGAGTTTCCTTGCCAACTAAACAGGTTCTACAATCCACAAATCTCCTGTCGAGAATTATTAATTCATGAACCACACTTAGGAAACTTAAGGGATTACTTTAACAAACCAATTGACATGGTTTTTAAACACTCATTCTCACCACACACGAATAAAACCATGGAGAAATTATCTGAAGAAATCATACAGAAAGCAAACAGTGGTCGACACCATGTTGAATTTCAACCTAAACATCAGATTACAAGAATAGTATGCAAAAGAGGATTTCAAGACTACAAGAAATCAGTTCCTACAAAGAAGAAACCTCGACTGAAACACATAAAGACACATCACATTGATCCTGGTAAATGTTTCACAAGTTTTCCTTTTAACACATCTAAGTCTCTTTCTCTTGGATTTTCAGATTCGAGGACGAATCCTTTTGAGGAGTGGGGGAATGATACATGCACCAGAGTCCATAATACATACTTCTTTGGACTAATGTTTCTACTCGAACCTATTAGAAGAACAAAGTCTCGAAGATTCAAAGCATATCTATTCGTTAAGTATAATGTGAATGAATCATTAAACGATTCTAATGTTGCTCCCTTTAATGTTTCAGATTCGAGGTCGAATATTTTTGAAGAAAGGGAGGATGATACATGCATCACAAGGCTCACATCAAAGGAAGAAGTAATAACTCTTCCAAATGATCCACTCGTCCAAGCATTGGAAAAGAAGATCAGAACAGAAGCAGACTTACGATGACTTTTTGAATGGGATCCTGATCTTATTTAGTCAATATGTCTTCTTACGATACGACCGTATGTCTCTTATCTTTCCAACGGTTCTTGAATCGTATCAATCCGATATCGGGAACTCAAGATATGGCTATTTTATTGAAGATGGTGCATGCAGAAAATCCTATACGAGATTAATACGGGATTTTGTAAATATTACGAATTTTCAATATTTTTATTGATTATTTGTAATATAACTTAATATAAGATGATGCATTATCTTTTAGGATTAGATTTATTATTTTATTAGGAATTAAGGTTGGGTTAAAAATATTATCTTTAGTTGTTATTATTTTATTAGGAATTAGAGTTAAGATATATTTAGTTTATTATTATTTTATTCATTAGTTATGTATGACCTTTAGAACTCAGCCCCTATATAAAGGAGGTTTTATTAAACTTTGTAATTCAAGATTTCTTTGATTAATAATACAACGAGAGTTCATTTTTGCAAGTGTTGATTGCCTTGTGCCTTCGAAGCTTCTTCTCCTTGAGTTCTTTCAAGTTCTTGTGAGGGAGATTAATCTTCACACACCAATTTGCCTTTTCATCGCAACTAGGAGGGTTGGTTAGAGCCATATTATCGTGTTTGCCTTTTCATTGCGACTAGGAGGGCTCGATAGGACATTATTCATCGATTTTCCACATATTCATCCACGTCATCAATCATCTTTATCGTTCACCTTCATAAGGGAGATCTTTTGATTTCTTGGTTATCTTATTTTATTTGCAATTCTTTATCTTTTCTTTATCTTGTTTTAATCTTATTTTTTATCTTGTTTCCAGCACCAAAAAGAAACCCTAAAGAACCATATCTATTGCCGCCACCTTCCCCATTCATCCCTTATTGTTCTTCATCAAGTCTAGATCTTTTTTAGGTTTGATTCTTCAACAAGAGCAACGTTCATCAATCCGCTACCGCTTCCCTATCAGACGGCTAAAGGCATTAAGGCAACAGAATGAAAAGATAAAAGATTAAAATTAGGACTTTCATTCTTTCAAACCTAGTCATCTGACAATCATCCGTTTATTTTTTTGATATATATATATATGGATGGATGGATATATTAATGGGTGGATGGATGCTACGGGTGATGGGTCGGGTGATGAGTCAAAAAAATTTCATCCATATCTGACTCGACCCATCACCCGCCAATTATCCATTTCTAAGCGGCTTTTCATCCATTTATTCGGGACGGATGGGTGAATAATCCACTCACCCATGATAATTGTTAGCCCTAAGTAAGACAGCTTTCCCTCATATTACTTGCACCATAAACAGCATAAATAATTTATACCTTTATATTTTTATCATGTAGGGATGTTTATATTTATCTTACCGATATTATAGTTAATCCATTAGATTTATTATGTAGAATCAATTACTTTGATTAATAATAATAATAATCATATTTTTCTTAGAAAATCATTGTATTTATAGATACAATAGAATTTGTCATTCAAAGATGTTTATAGGTTAGATCGAATTTGAACATGAGACAAACATATTATACTTATTCAAGTCCGATTCTTTCTGAAATATAAATTTTTAAGCTTATTTAAATTCATCCTTATTTATAAATGATTAATTCAAATCTATTTTCGGACCAACCATATTACTTTATATTTTTTATAAAAAATATTTACTTCATTTTAATTTTAATAATTTTTTATTCTAATAAAATAATCTAGGGTAACTTACACATTTAATACCTAAATTATTAGTTTTGGTCTTTTTAGTACCTAAACTTTTAATTTTTCCTGAAATCATACTTAAAGTTTAGTTTTTGGTTTTTTAGTGTTCGGCCATTAAAAACTTTATGTTGAACTGACTTTTGATTTTGATATAACATGTTTTTTTAAATGTTTTAAGTCTTTACAATTTGCATTTCACGAATTTATAATTAATTTGTCATAAACGATTTTAAAGTATTTTTAAGTGTAAAAAAAAATCACAAGTGTTATTGAGTAAATTCACATTTTATAAATATTGTTTTAAAGCTCAAAACACTTTTTTTAGCCAAAATCTCTTCTAGTCCGAGACCAGTATGATAGTCTCGATACCAAAATTCTAGAAGGCTTTTTGGTATTGATACCATGGCCTTGGTATCTCGATCGGTGGGTGAGTATCGATACCCACTTAAACAATATCAATACTAGTGGTTTAACAACTATAAATTTGACCATTGGGAGGTTTGGTCTCTATACCAACATCTGAATATCGATACCAATTGTGCAGGTGAGCATTAAAATCTCAAAATTAATGAATTCAACGGTTCTATTCAATCCCCAACGACTCCAAACAGCTAGATTGACGTTTGAAGACATAAAAGAGATAAAGATTCAAATCGAGAACAACAAGAAAGTCAATTACAAATTTAATCCAACGTCAATATAGTTTTAGAGAAAAAAATTGTCAAGTTCTTTGTAACACACTTGTGAGCTACATTATTAAATTTGCTCAAGTATGATTTTTGGTGAGTTCTTAATTTGTGCAAACACATTTGCCTTTGTGAGTTTTTTTTTTGTTGTTGCTAAATTTGTAATTACTCTGTGGGAGAGTGTGCATTCAAGGTTTTGGGGTATAAACCGTTAAGTATTTGTAAGGTTACACCTTATCCTCAAAGGTTTGCAAATCTAGTCGATTTGATAAATCCTTAGTGTGGATGCTAAGGTAGTGGATGTAGACTTGGTTTAAAAGTCGAACCACTCTAAATTCTTTGTGCAAAGTTTTATTTTCGATTGCTTCCACCACAAAATTTTCAAAGGCCAATTCACCCCCTCTTGACTATTTTCGGTTGATCGATTCAAGCCTAGAACTTTAGTTTTTGTTTCATTTTAATATTTTGTTCGAAATTTAACGTTAAGTTTTAAAAAAATAGAAAATTTAGGTATTAAGAAAGACTAAAACTGATATTTTAGGAATTAAATGTGTTAATTTTGTAACAGATGGGTACTAAAATGAAATAAAAACTAAATGTTAAGTATGGTTTTAAAAAAAATATAAAATTTAAATACTAAAACAGAATAAAACTAATTGTTTTGGTATTAAATACGTAAGTTTACCCAAACACTGAACGCGAGAATGGTTGGTATTCACCTTTTGTTGATGGCCCTTGTAATGGGATCTTGTGTTTACATGATTCTGGTAAGGCTGCCCTTTGGAACCCATCTACCAGAGAGTTCAAAATCCTTCCTCAATCCACAGTCCAACGCCCTCCTGCAATAGATTACACTAGTTCTGATTGCCTTGGTCTTGGGTATGATTCTGAAACTGATGACTTCAAAGTTGTAAGATTTGTTATTAATTTCTTTGAAGAGAATCTAGATGAAGGGTTGATGGCAGATTGGATCGAGCAAGTTGAGTTATATTCCCTTAAAAGTGATTCATGGAAGGAAATTTCAGTTCCTGGGGTTTATGCTTTTGTTTCTATTTTGTTTAATAATTATATCAATGTGTTTTATTATTGGCAGGCAAGTGGGGATTATAAACTTATTCTTTCGTTTGATATGGTTAATGAAAAGTTTTCAACTTTACCACTGCCTGAATTTGGTGGGACTTTAGCACAATGTTATTTGGAACTTTTGGACTTCAATGGATTGCTTGGTGCTATTTTATACCCATGTGAAGGAACTGACAAGTCTTTTGATTTATGGGTTATGAATGGATCATGGACTAAACAATTCAGTGTTGAATCTGTTCCTGGAGTTGAGAGGCCATTGGGGTTTTGGAAAAATGGCGAAATGTTTCTCGAGAGCTCTGATCATGAACTGGTGTTGTTTGACCCCTCCACACGAGAGATTAAAAATCTCGGTATCCATGCTGATCGGGAAACAATGCGGATTGTTGCTTATGTTGAGAGCTTGGTTCCAATAAATGGAAGACAAGAGCATGAGGAAAGTATAGTTCGTCGGCCAGCTGGAGGTGCATCAAATTGACATTGAACACTAAGATGGATGGGGCACTACAACAAAAGAGGCAAGATTAGTAGGATTTGAACTCTTGATATTGTCTTGTGATGTTCTCAAATTATGTTGTTATTGTTTGGATTGTATATACATGTCGTAGATGTTGACTTGTTTCTGTTTGCTTTTTGGTTGTTTTAGTGGATGCTCGAAATTACATCCTACAGATTTGCTTAGTTGTTAACTCTTATCTGCAGTTCTATTGGCCTGCAGATTATGATTTGCATATATTATTATTGTTATGATCATGTGCTATTGTCTATACTTTAGATCCAATGAAACAGCGTCAATGGTTTGGTATTGCTTCCTTTGTGGAATATTTCTGGAAATTGTTGTGTTTTTTCTGCAAATATATATAGAATAATTCGCATGAGCTTGTGTGTGTGCATATAGAGAGTTTACTTGGTTTTGCATGTTTGCTTTTCGAATTTAAGAGTCGGAATTCCAGAACTTTTGTGTGAGATGATTTCATTCTGGATCTCAGTTATTTGTTTTAGAGGTAAATGGATAGCATTCTTGCAGAGGTCTTGTTTTAGGTTTTTCTGCTCGCATGTGAGTATCAAACATGTCGAATATGGGTATTCTGATAGTTTTTTGATGTAGTTGGAGGGTCCTTAGAGGATTGTATGCTTGTAGTATATCCCAAAATGCACGAACACATGTATGAGTAGCCTGGACTGATTGGTGCTCATTACATTGGTTTGATGGTTTTTCTGATATGAGATACGCCTTGTATTACATGACTGCAAAATAACAAATGGTTTGGCATCTTTCTTGATCTGTATTTCCCTAAAAATATTCATATCTGATGGTGCCTCCATAGATACTTTTTCTTCACGTTTAGGCATCGAATTATGTATACATTTTAGAGCTCTTTGAATAAGTCGATAGTTGCATCGAAGTGCTAAGTTTTTATACTTGTTTAAATTTCTGTTTCGACAATTTTTTGAGGTCTCGGACAACTTCTTGCAGATTTCTTCTACAACTTCCTTGGATGATTGAAGAGTTTGAAGGTCTGGAATCACCACATTCTCAATTGGAGTCGGATCTTTTCTTTCCGGCCGAAACCTGGAAATAATTGACGTAATATCCAACTCCTCAGAATCTGATGATGAATAATAAAACGAGTTGGAGTTGGAGCTGGAATCGCCTGATGAAAATAACTCATTACCGTCATGATTTCATTCCTTGAATCTCAATGCAATCTCTCGCAAATTTTCTCTTATATTCTAGCAAATGGTCATAAAATTTAAAACCAACGGTTATCAGGGGGGATTCGTCCTGCTAAAATGATGAGTTCCCTTGATTAAAAATAATAATTTTGAAATGGTCATCTCAATGGCTGTAGGGGAATGGAATGTCGTGTTTCCTTTAAATTTAAAAAAAAATAAAACTATTGAAAAATTACATATGAAAAAATATGAAGAAGTATATATGTATTATATATAATTATAGAAAAATGTTTACATTAGAATTAAATAGTAGCATAATATTATAAATATTTATAATTAATTTCAAACAATAACTTCAATCGACTCAAGTTTATAAACTCGACTCGAAAAAACTTAAAATAATGTTTGTTATAAAGTAGGATTCAGCAGCCCAAATAACTTAAGATTTTTTAATTCGACTTGACTTGATCGAACGGTAAATCCTATGTGAAACTCAAACATTAGTTTCGTTTTAGAAACTCTAGAAAGAGATTTATGGTTCCCAAAATTGTAGTTGGGAATGCCATTAATACAATATTTTCAGCATTTGTTTCTACAAACACATTCATTCACCTTTCTTTCACACCATTCAACAACTGCTATTAAATCCACCACAACATAAATCATTTACAATTTCATCTTGTGCAAAGGATGGCCTCAATGGAATCCCACGACTCACCTCCAAAATGCTCATCTTTTGCAATAAGAGAAACAACAACTCACCACAAAAAGATGGCCTCATTAGATCCTTCAAATTCACCGCCAAACCACTCCTTTGCTCTAAGGGATCACACCACCGGTCAATGCTTCTTGAGAAGCCTCTCCACTAAAGATGCCTCCTTCAATGGCTTCCATTGCTCCCCTCCTCGTTACAGCACTCCTTCTCCCCACATTTCTTCTCCCCTATCCTCTCCTCTCCGCGCTTTCGACCCTTCCGACCACGCCGTCGGCCTCGACACTTCATATAAATGTCTGTCTTCGGTCCTTAAAAAAGATGGTCAGGTTCTGTCCATTGCCATCTCGAACGGGGTCGTTTATACCGGATCGGATTCGAACTTGATACGCATTTGGAAGTTGCCCGAGTTTTCGGAATGTGGAGTGATCAAGACTAAAGCATCGACCGTCGTTGCTCTTGCGGTGTCACATGAAAGGGTGTTTGCAGCCTATGGTGATACCAAGATTAGGGTATGGCGAAGAACATGGGAGGGTACGTTGAAGCATGTCAAGTTGGCGACAATACCCCGGACCAGCGGATATGTCCGAAGCTACATTTCCGGAAAAGACAAAATGGTAATGGCCTATTGCTAGCTATTGTCGGTGGCGTTAGCTTCCTTAAAAAATTCAAATTTTCATATATTTTTTAAAAAAAATACTTTTATCAATTATCTATTTTCGTCCCTAAAATTTTATAAATTCAACCTCATAAAATGTTGCGATGACATGCATCTGAATTCTGAGTAACCTAGATTTTATGCAATATTGTTAGAGGGTAAGTGGTGGGTGAAATAAGGTTGAAAATGTGGGAAACGGCTGATGCAATTGAAGGGTTCTTTTAAGTTTTAAGATAGGGAGAGTGAATGGATAACAAACATTTTGGGATCAGAGAGTGTAAATGGTGTTCGATTTTAGATTCAACTCTCAACTACTATCTACCAAAGTTTATTACACAAGCATCAAACTTTGTGCTTATCTGTAGTTTAACTTTATTCGTTAAATGTGGTGCACTGAAATTTCCAATTTAAATCGAAATTATCATATTTTTTATATAATCATCAAGATTCAATTTAATTACCGACTAATCTTCTTTATGATATAAATTTATTATGTCTAGAGATATTGGTACTTCTCTAATATGACCTTAAATTGCATTATGAAAGTTTGGTCACCAACCTCTTATTTATACTGCAGAAACAGACTTTACTTCGGTTCTCTCTCTATATAATGTGTAGACAGATATTTGGTTGGAATTGACCCATTTCTAGTTGAGTTCAAAATTACCATTAGATGAGAAATTCATGTATTAACAGTTGTAAAATTGTTTTTTTTTTACAAATTACTTAAACACGACATGCATTGATCAATTGAATTGCAGACGAGGCATATGGGGCCAATAACATCACTAGCAATCAACGTATCAGACAACATTCTCTACTCCGCTTCCGTCGATAAAACCGTGAAAGTTTGGAGAATATCAGACCTCAAATGCATCGAGAACATCCCGGCACATTCCGAACCCATCAACTCGATCGTCGTGGCAGACGACGGAATACTGTACACCGCCTCCGACGATGCCACAGTCAGGGTCTGGCGACGCAACTTTTGCCGAGGAGAATGGCCTCATTCGCTCATGGTGACCTTACCGGCCAAATGCTCGCCCGTCAAAACTCTAACACTGACCGCGGATGGCGGAGTATTGTACGGCGGCTGCACGGACGGATACATACATTACTGGCTTAAAGGCTGGTTATCGGGCCAACTACAATACGGAGGTGCACTCCAAGGTCACACTCATGCAGTCATGTGCCTAGCCAGTCTGTCCAACTATGTGATCAGTGGCTCCGCCGACTCGTCTTGCAGGGTGTGGACCAGGGAACATGATGGTCAACACGTGTGTCTAGCCGTTTTGGTGGGCCATAGGGGACCCATCAGATGTGTGGCTGCATTTTTGGGACACTCGGGGGACGAGGTTGAAGATGGTTGCACCATCTGCAGTGGGAGCCTTGATGGAGTTTTGAAGATGTGGCGCGTAAATCGTACCAAGAGTGCCGGTGGAGGCTTTGTAAAAAATGATTATTTTGAGTTAGATGAGGGAGTCTAAGTCACTTGATTAGGTTCCCTGGAATGTACAGTGTAATTTGCTCATCATTTGATTTCTGGAATTCTCTGTCTGGTTTATACTGCGACTCAAAAATTTTGTAGTGTATTTATAGTTGGATTTAAATAAACGTTAGATATAGATATAGCTTTTATACAAATAATAATTTAATATATTATTACATTAATTTTTATCTAAATTTTAATATAAATTAATATAATTGTTGGACCGTTGATAGATCCTATGATAGGATCGAAAGCTCCATCGATATTGATCTTCACCACACTATTCAACGATCTCTACCAACAGTCCAGCATCCTAGAGGAAGCATACTTAAATAGTGCCCAAATCTCCTATTAATTGGTGATTTTTCTATGTACTTAATCATATATAATTTAATACTATTATGATGATTCTGTATTTTTAAACATTTTTTAATATAATATTTTTCTAACTTAAAAATGGGCACAAGTGTCCAAATAATGATGTGGGAATTTTTAATTCTCAAAGTAATGTATTCATCCGATTAATTTTTGATATAGGGTATTTTCTATAGAGTTTTGGGATCTTTCGGCGTCTTCAGAGGGTGTTCATTGTTAGATGGATTTTTAGGCGTATTTAATGGGATTTCAGGAAAAAAAATTGGTTATTTTACACAAATATCACCTTAACAAAAATTAATTACTTGTTAGTCACTGTTTAAGAATATTTTACGGATCTAGCATATTTTTAAATACTTTCTATAAAATTATTCATGCATTAAATTACATAATACAATTATATCTACCAATTACCACTTGACACTTTCTTATACGTTTTTGACCCTTTCAAAATCATATGCGTATAGTATATTCTAGGAAACTTTGAGGGTAAGTAATTTAAAATATAAATAATTTTATAAAATATTACAGATCATCGTCATTTTGAAAACAATTTTGCAGAAAGACGCGGTACATGTACCGCATAGGATTTTGAAAAATATTTATAAAAGTTTTATAACTAATATTTATTTTTCAAAATCCTATGCGGTGAATGTGTCGCGCCTTTCTGCAAAATTATTTTTCAAAATCCTAGAATATACTATACGTATAGGATTTTGAAATGGTCAAAAACGCATCAGAAAATGTCAAGTAGTAATTGGTAGACATAATTGTATTGTGTAATTTAATGCATGAATAATTTTATAGAAAGTATTTAAAATATGTTAGATCTGTAAAATATTCTTAAACAGTGCCTAACAAGTAATTAATTTCTGTTAAGGTGATATTTGTATAAAAATGCCAACTTTTTTTTAAATGCTAAAGACGCCAGAATTTCCACAATTGAATTCACCCAAAGACGCCGAGAAATCTGGTTCACCCCTAAAGACGTCGAGATATCTCAAAACCCTGTAAAAAACACTCTATATCAAGAATTAATCGGGTGACTACATTACTTTGGGAATTAAAAATTCCCACATTATTATTTGGGCACTTTTGCCCTTAAAAATGGTTCCCACAACACTATTAACTTAAATGAAAGTATTAATGTTTAGGATTTTGGTTTGATTAGTGAAAATTATAATTAATGTATGATATTTAGATTTTATATAAACCTAAATAATATCAAATTTATTAATAAAAACAAATCATTTAAAAAAATTAAAATACATTTTAAATTTTTCTCAAAAAATAATTGTAACTTTTAATTTATGAATTGGAAAATAAATTAAATTAAATAGAAGGGTAAACTATACAGTGAACCACTTAATTATATAACCCTTTTACTTTTGTCACCGATTACTTACATGATAGTTAAAAGAATCAGTATATTTTTACATTTAGTCCTTAATATATTATCTCAATTTGGTCATAAATTAAATAAAACTTAATAAATTTATCATTCAGTCAAGATATGACATGTGTCAGCACATGAACACTTGGGTAGAATCAAACCTAAGACCATAAGGATGGATAAACAATGCCCCCACCCACTGCACCAAACATCCCCAATTGTTTATTACTTACAACAAATTATATTTATCTTTTTAAAGCTTGCTAATGGTAAAAGGAAATTGAAGTAAAAATAAATTAGAATTAATTTTTTTGAATATCTGATTCAAATTAATATATTAATAAATTAATTATTGCTGATTATAAAAATATTTTTTAAATACTTTACTTCAAAATTATTAAAAAAATAAAAATGAATTTAAAAGTTGTTAAATTTATATATTGAGAATGTAAAAATTATTTTAATAAAATATACTATATATTGAGAATGTAAAAATTTATATATAATCATTGAAAATAAACATTTAATAGAATTAAACTTATGGTTTTTTTATTTAAAATATTTTCTTTTATATTTTGGAAAATAAAGCAAACAATGTTTGGTAAAAAAATAAAGTTCAGAATGATAATAACTATATACAAAGCATGTAAGTTTAGTAACCAGAGTGGGGTTTGTCCTAGTGGTTTGAGTATGTCTGCTCATCCTTATGGTCTCATGTTCAATTTTACCCAAGTGCAATTTCATCCTCTTTATTTTCTATCCAATCGGGTGGTGACACGTGGTCACCTCCTGATCGAATAGAAAAATTATTTAATTAAATAAATTTAAATTAATGAAAAAATATCCTCCAATCATATAGATTATGTTCCTGTGCTGACACATGTCAGATCCTGATTGAATGGTAATTTATTAAATTATATTTAAATTATACCAAATTGAAAGAATATATAAATATTAAAGACTAAATGTAAAATATATCAATTCTTTTAACTGTCACGTCAACATTTTTGTAAAATATTAACGGCTAGTGGTCTATTGAACAAATTAAATAGTTAAGTGGTGTGATTGACAAAATGAAAGATCGGTGGCAAAATAAAAGGGCTACATAGTAAGGTGGTCAACTATACAGTTTACCCTAATAGAATATATCTAAGTATTATCTGAATGTTAAATTAGATATTATAATTTAATTAAAACTGGTTTGTGAACTTTTTCTATTATCATCCTTGTATTAAATAATTATCTTAATTTTCACTAACGAAATCATAATTCAACTATCTATATAATAATACAAATTTTGATTCAAACGTGTTTAAATATACAATTTTATTCAAGGTGATAAGTAATGTATACACTCATATCAAAATAATATAATTATTCAATCTTAATAATATTGGAATCAACCCCAATAAGCTTAAAATTCTTTTTTTTGGGCTTTTTTTCTTCTAGTTAGTGCCCATATCTCTTTCTAAACCTTGTAATTTTCATATTTCCAGGTTTAGGCTTCATCCAAGTTTTCGTCTTTGCTTCTCTTGTCAATACTGTGTAGCAAAACTTTTCCAAATAAGGAATGAATCAGCTTCCAATTTCCACCCTGGTGTCACTTTCATCTGCGCATAGTGTGATGGTTTGATGGTTGAATTAGTAATGATCTGAATCTAGTGATTACATATATTCACCAATGTCATGGGATTTCATAGATCAAGCAAGATGTCATGGGATTTCATCTTGAGAGTTGAGACAAAGTGCTTTCTTAATAATTGGACCATTCCCTTGAATTGTTAGCACTTCAGATTACATAGGATACTCAAGTGTCTCTGCGCGCATAAGCAACAATAAGCCTGCCCAGGTGAAAACTTGAGTTTGCAGTTCCATGGAAATCTTTTGGGACAAAAAGAAAATAGAGCTGCAATTTTCCACCTTTTGAATATGCGTAATTATGGATCCTCTCTTTTGAATTGATGCTGAATTCATCAAATTCACTTAATAACATGCTAATTATGATAACATTATGCCAGGGCATTTATGGAGTCAGAATTGCCAACTTTTAAAGAGAAAAACCCTCAGCTGGAGCAGGTTACCGAACTCATTCGTGGACAGCATCCACATTTGAAGGCCTTTTACAGTAAGTTACTCTTTCCTGGATGAGTTTCAGACATAATGCATTGAGATGTGTGCATTGTTCTTAAATGTTAGTCTTTGAACAGCATTGTTTCTCCAAAATCACCTCAGCCATTTAAAAACTTATTTCATGTCAATTTGTCAGAAACTAAAATGAGCGGGCGGTATGCGTGAAGATATGACTCCTGAAGATCCTCCTCCATGCAACCAGGCTAAGAAACGCTTTGGGAAGAAAGGTGGTGAATTACATAATGCATTGAGATGTGTGCATTGTTCTTAAATGTTAGTCTTTGAAACATGCATTGTTTCTCCAAAATCACCTCAGCCATTTAAAAACTTATTTCATGTCAATTTGTCAGAAAACTAAAATGAGCGGGCGGTATGCGTGAAGAATATGACTCCTGAAGATATCCTCCTCCATGCAACCAGGCTAAGAAACGCTTTGGGAAGAAAGGTGGTGAAATTGAAGACGATGCATGTAACTAAACACCCTAGTGTGCAAGGTACATGGAAACTGAGGTGAAATATTGAGACACAATAGTACTCTCTTTTTAGCTTTATTTTGGCCATGATGGCAACTTTGCTAGAGCATTCCACCTCATTGGAGGTCGTTGGAACTTCTATGTTATGGACAAATCCTAATGATGTTTGAATCGTTGAGTATGAATTTCTATTCAAACCTTACAGATGGAAACTAGTGGAGGAGTGTTGCGACGGTGAGGAAGGAAGAGATAAGGATAGTAATAAAAGTTTTTAAAGTGTTGTGTTATTTTTTATGGTTTTCAAAAATTTTGGGCTCTTTTTTATAAAAATATATTTTTAATTTTTTAATTTTAAATAAAACTTTTAAAATTACCAGATTATGACATGTGTCACTTAACGAGAAAAACTAACTTCATTGACTGCCCGGGCACCTAAAAGGGTAACGTTTGTAACGTTATGCATTTGGATGGATCAAAAAATGATATAGGCATCTATTTGGCACAAAAGATATAATTTAGGCAATTAAGCCTAAATTTTATTAAATCTACAAATGCATTCTTTTTAAAAAAAAAATTAAAGCTCTTATTATTATTAATCATTCTATTAGTTTTTCTTGGAAAATCTAATGGAGTAACTATAATATCGGTAAGACAAGTATATTTATAATCGCCCAATGAAAATAGATATTATATGATTTATTTATTTTAAATATCACAATGATCCTATAAGAAAATATAGAGATAAGTGCAAGCCTTTTAACTTGGAAAGTTTACAATAATCATTATTTAGAGTTTTCAAGGTAAAGTACATAAATGATTTTCCGACTTTATGATTTATTTTGTTGGATCATTAGACTACTAAAAGTTACAAAATGATCTTTCGAATATAAGGTACTACCTTATTGGGTCCCCCATTATTAAAAGTTACAAAATGGTCACTTGATTATTCATATGTTTCAAACTCGTTTTTTTTCGTTAAAAAATAAACATTAATTTGCTGATTAAGATATGATAATATCCGATCCCAGGATCTCAAAGGACTATACAATTCAAACGGTTATGGGATCATATTTTCACATATCTCAATCAGTAGATTAACATCAAACTTAGATGACTGTGACTTTTTTTAAAAAGAAAATGATAAACTCGAAATATATGAAAAATTAGGTGACCATTTTGTAATTTTTAATAGTCAATAGACTCAACAAATAAGTGTCCTATAGTTAGGGGACTATTATGTAACTTGTAATAATCAAATGACTCAACAAAATAATATCTTATAGATAGAGGACCATCTATGTATTTTACCCAAGTTTTTATTAAGAGAGAGGATCACTAAGGAAAGTATACATTAGTTAACATGGTTTTGCAGGGGCCCGTGATAGTACCATTTCTGACTGGCAATTGATGTGGACAATTTCGAATCGTATTAACCAGTTGCGAAGACGATGCCGGTCTGTTATAACATAAACGAATCTCCCATAATTGCACAACTCCGGTGGTTCGATTTGTGTTGCAAGCAATCTCAGGTAAGGCTTGTGTAAGGTTCTGAATTTTGTTTATAACCTGTTGAACCGTATAAGTATTTCCTCGTGTAAGTCCCATAACTGAATCAATCACAACAAATTAGAGACTATGTTAGAAAGATGAATTCTCAACTATTTAATCTTCAACAGTGTTGTATATGTTACAATATAAATTATAAATATGCATGCATAGAGATAGACTGAAGGGGTGCAATCTATAATTTTAAAATTTTTATATGATTTAGGTATTTTCTTTGTATTTCTATTATTTATCTAATTTTAAATCTCTTAAATTTGATTAACCTATTTTTAGATATATTATGTGTAGATTTAAGCTATCGTTTAACATTCATGTTGATGGCTAGGATGATGAAAGTACTTAATAGAAACGAATTATCTTTATATTTTTATTGATAATTTATTTTTGTTTTCTTATGATTTGATAAATTGGTCCTCTTAAAATATTATAAATTTGTATCTCGGTATAAAATCATACGTCCGTCCAATCATAAGTATAAAAGTATATGTAGTATAAATGAAATATATTCGTTACCTGGACTTGTTAAACCCTGTCTAAGGGTTAAGGCGGAGTCGAAGAAGCGAAAAGGGTCATAGGGGTAATCAGAACATGTTCCGTGCTTGTCCCATTCATGTCCCCAAAAGACGTAAGCAGTTCGATTAGGGTTCTTCAAGTCCGGCCATAGTGATATTAAGTTGCTTTGAATGGGAGTCAAAGCAGTCTTTTAAATTATAGAAACTTTTGTTAGATTATATATATAAATTTAAGGATAAATTACATTTTTAGTGCCTCAACTATCACTTTTGTTCCGTTTGGGTAACCTAACTATTTTTTATTTCAAAATCATATCTAACGTTTAGTTTTGGTTTCATTTTGGTCACCCGCCATTAAAAAATTAATAGAACTATTGACATGATATTTAAAAAAAAATCAATGATGACGTTTCATTATCTTATGATGACAATTGACACATCAACAGTTCTGTTAATTTTTTAGTAGCGGGTGACCAAAATAAAATAGAAGTGATAGTTGGGTACTAAATGTGTAGTTTACCCTATTTTTTATATAAAAAAAGAGATAAATTTAAAAGTTGATGATATGCTTACCGGAAGAACTGAGGAAGAACTGGGTGGCGGAGTATAACAAGCATAAGAAGTTCGGTTGTAACCGGGTATTGGGTTGTCGTTGATATCTTGTGGCCATATACCATGGATGGTAAACACGGTTGGAATGGGAGTACCACATCTCACGCCACCGGAACACGTGGCAGGAGGCCATTGGAGACTCAATTTGTAGAAATCTATAGGCGGTGGCGCTTTAAGTGACCCGCTGAATAAATCTTGAAATGTTCAAAGTAAATGGTTGTGGATATAATTTGAACAGAACTGAGACGCAAATCACTGAAACAGCTACTAATGTATGTTTCAAAGCCATTATGACAAGCAATACTCGACCAAATCTATAATATTTTGTATTCTAGATTTGAGATCAAAGCGTCGACCTTTTTATAACACTCTTACAGATGCAGCATATATTATATATTATATATACACACATATATATAATCAAAATAATAATGTCAAAATAATTATTTTATCAGAATAAAATTAACATGTGTTTTTATGGTTTGCTTATTGTTGTAACTAACTTTTGACTTGCATGTTTTTTACCATGTGCTTATTGTTGTAACAAACATTTCTTTTGTCTTATATAAATTTAGAACTTCGTAATAATGTAAAAATAATTATTTTATTTAGAATTTATATAAAATAATAGGAGTATAATTTATCAATATTCGAATTCAATATTTCTCTCCATAAAGATGTCGTTTTTCCCTTTTTTTTTATCATCAGCTAGGTTGACTTACATGCTTTCTCGGTTTATTTTTGTAACAAACTTTTTTTGAGTAAACTATTAGAATGGTTACTTATATTTTTATATTGATTTACTTTTGCTCATTAAGTTTAAAAAAATTAAGTTTTAATCATGTATGTTGTCGTTTTATTAAGTTTTGATCACTGAATTATTAAAATTGTTAGTTTGATGATGTTACATATTAATAAAATAATTTATTTTTTCTTTTAATCATTTAATTATAAATAAAATAATAATTATAAGTTTTATTTATAAACCCAAAGAAGTTTAATAAAAAAATAACTTATCTTTTTTTAAATATGTTTTTCTTTATCTTTGTCGAAACTTTACCTCCCATACTCGAGCTTCTCACTATTCATCTTTTTTTACTGAGCTAAAGTAATTACAAAGTCATATTTGTTCTAATCACTATCAACCATTTAACAATAAATTGTTAAAAAGAAAAAAAATTGTACCACTTTTAAAAAAGTAATTATAAGTAGAAAAATCATAACAATACGAGTGCTAGAGAGAGAAAGTATAAAATTGTTATTGTTTTTTCTAAGTGTTCGTAGTGAATTTGGAATCTATTGTTGGAAATATAGACTGCAAAATCACACCGTTAGCATTGACATGAAAGGTAAACAGAAATTTAAATGAAATAAATTCGTAAATCGTGTCGTGGTAAAAACCACTGCCTTAGAAACGAATTCTCCCCGATGTGTGTAATCGCTGCAATAGGAGGATCGTCCCCCGAGATTAACACGGTCGCTCCAAATTTCGTACACCCGAAACCGGAGTGGACTGCTGGTGTTATTGCACTTCTGATCAGGTTAAAATCGTCCATAAAAAATCATGATTAAAACCCTTCATTGTAACAACTGAAACGTCCAAATGAACCTTACCCGTGTTAGTGATATAGAAACTACAAAAATCAAATCGTTAGCACTGATTGAATAATTAAAATAAATAAACAAAAGTCCAATTAATTGTGTTATAGTATAACCACCACCTTAAAAACGAATTTGTCTCGATGATGTTTGTTGTGTAAAAGGTTGTATAGTCTCATAAACGTCCCGATTAAATATGTAGAAAACCAACAATCAACCTAAAGAAATTAACAACTATAATAGTTGTTATATTACAACAAATTTTAATCCCGAAAATTACTCCAATCACGATGACGACCATGAATTGAGTAAATCGGCCGAACAACGACAATGACATACACATGCGAAAGAATTATCTAGTCATATTTAACATGAGAGGGAAAAATAACCCTTTAGATACTCTTCCAAAATAGTTTTCCTTCTCAATATTAGATAAAAACTTTTATGCTTTTTAAACATTACCAACAACACACTCCTTCGATTCATCCCTACCTTAATGTGTTGAAAGTATATTTCGACGACATCGTTACAATCAACATCGAAATCTATAGTATTTTGTATTGTAGTATTCAATCGAAGGGTCGACCTTTCTATAACACTATTATACATGTAGCATACATTTTTTATATATATAATCGACTTGTGTTTTTTTTTTCATTTGTTTATTGTTGTAGCAAACTTTTTTTGTTTTTATGATTTTTTGTCATTTGCGTATTGTTGTAGCTAACTTTTTTTTGTCTTTATGTATATATTTATTTTATGTATAAATTTAGCTTTCTTAACCAGATTGTGTTTATATTAATTTGATCAGCATTTATATAAAATAATAGGATAAAATTTTATCAATATTGGAATCCAATATTCATCTCTTTTTCTTTATTTTTTTTTTATGAAAAGTGTAAATTTTATCAGTATTTGAATTTATTAGAATCCAACATCGGCTTCTTCTTGTAACAAATTATTTTTTTTGTCTTCCTATAAATTTATTTTATTTGCATATTTTTTATTTATATTTCATGTATTAAAGTTTTTAAATTTATATATTATCAAAAAAATTAATTTATAACTCACCAATGATAATCAAGATAAATCTTGAAAAAAAACCTTCCGCAAGATTTATTGGGATTTAATGCATCTCGTTTGCTTATTGTTGTAGCGAACTTTTTGTATTTATGTATAAGTTTAGCCTTCTTGTACTTTATAATAATGTGAAGATTATTATTTGATAAGCAATTATATAAGAAAAACTGATCAATATTTGGATCTAAGATTTGTCCTTTTTTTTTTTGTTGCTCTCTAGTTTCAAGGCTTTGCCTTGACTAATATGGACCAACCTGGATCGTATACATGGTTTTGGTAGGCGAATTATCCTGTGGAGATTTTTTCATACATAAAGACTTAAACTTGAGACATTGCTTAAACGATATCAAGCTACTTACCACTTGAACCAACCCCGATTGTTAAGATTTATCTCTTTAATGATATTGTTTTCCCATTTTTTTCATTATCAATCGGGTTGATTTGCTTCCTTCAAATCGGCTTATCATTTATTCATTAGCCATCAGTTCTATTTGTCACCCTCGAAATGCTCTCTTCTGACAGGTCCGAACGAAAAGCCTTGGCCTCCATAAATGTGTAAAGATAGGAAAAGAGAGACGACACTCCCTGAGTTTATTGAAATAATCCTGTATATCCTCAATAGAGGACCAGGTTATAAAGAGGAGGAGGAAACCAACCCATTGAATTACATCTACGGGTGTTCAATTGGTCAGTTTGATTAAGCGATCCAATTGAATTACTCAAAACTTATTAATCGATATTTTTTCCTTTTAATCATTAATCAAATTGATTTTTTTTTTTTTTAAAATTAATCGAACCGAACAAAATTTGATTAATTCGAATAATTTTTGAAGCAACCTAAATTTATAAAACTGAAGTTTAAACACTCCTAAAGCTAAGTGGAGAATATAAATAATATATATAATATTATGTATTAAATATTTTTCACTTAATTCATTTAATTCAATTAATAACTGATAACTAAATTTTTAAAAAAAAATCATTAACTATTAATCAATCAAACTTAAAATTAACAAACCGATTAATAAAGAAAAACTTTAACTCAATCGATAATTTGATTAAAACCGAAGTTTAAACAGACATAACCTCAACATAAATTTTGAACCCAATTATTATCAACCTTTTTTTAATACCTTTTTTTTTTCAAAACCAGTTTTTATTTTTTATTATTTAGTCTCTCATCTTTGTGTTCCATTCGATTTGATCCCTTGATTCAAATCCTTAAAATTTCTTCTACCAATTAAAAACTTGTCCTCATTTACAGTAAATTTCCTTGTTCAGAATTCACTTTCTGAATATATTCGGCATGAAATTTTCATTAATAAATCTAATGCAATATCTATTCAAATTATGACTCTAATTTTATATCATTATATTTTATAATTAAGAGCTTGTGTGACGAAACAATATCAACATAAAAAAAAATTAGACAATTTCAACGATCAATATAAATTTCACAAAGATAACTAAAATATTTATAACTTAATCATTTAGCTTATAAGTTTAGCCTCAATGGATAACCTATATAAATGACAATAACTGGGATTGTTTAAATTTTAACATATTCATTTGACCTTTATTTTGTCGAAATTCAATTCAAAAGATGCATATAAAAATACATAAATAAAATGTATAATTCTTAAAAAAAATTGATGAAGCAAAATAAACAAAATTAATTTGTCAAACCTACAATCCATTTTCAAACATTATTTGTAGATAGGTGGACAAAGACCTTGGGATAGAATTTAGAAATATGACAATTTCATACATTAATTAAAACCTAAAACAAATCCTTCAAATTTTTTTCTCTACTTATTCTTTGATTACATCCTTAACATAATTGGTAGTTTGATGACATGGCATATTAATTCTTTATCTTTGTCGAAACTTTACCTCCCTTACGCCAACTTCTACTATTCATCTTTTTACTAAGTTAAGATAATTACAAAGTCATATTTGTTCTAAACACTATCAACAATTTAACAATAAACTGTTAAAAAATTTACCCTTTTTAAAAATGTAATTATAAGTAGAAAAATCATAACAATACGTGTGCTAGAGAGAGAAAGTACAAATCGTTATTGTTTTTCTAAGTGTTCGTAGTGAATTTGAAACTCATAACCTAAGGGAATATGATGGAATAAAGATGAATAGTTTGGCCAAATTACCAAATATTATTGCTCGTAAAAGGGTGTTGTTAAAATTGAAGATTTAGTACTTAATGCATAGAGAGAGAAGGGTATATGCACATCCACCAAAACAACTATTAGTGTAAGGACACACGTATGATTTTTATATTGGGGTCAACTTTTAAAATTTTAGGAATTGAAAACATATTATCAATTGAAAATACACAAAAATAACTAAAATATATACTAATTTGAAATTTTAAGAGGAGAAACTACTTACCCGTGTTAGTGATATAGAAACTGGAAAAATCAAATTGTTAGACTGATTGAATAATTAAAATAAATAAACAAAAGTCCGATTAACTGTGTTGTAGTATTAACCACCACCTTAAAAAAAATTCGCCTCGATGATGTCTATTGTTGTAAAAGGTTGTATCTCTCATAAATGTCCCGATTAATTCTATAGAAAACCAACAATCAACCTAAAGAAATTAACAACTAAATAGTTGTTATATTACAACAAATTTTATTCCCGAAAAGTACTCCAATCACGACGACGACCATAAATTGAGTCATCGGCCGAATAACGATGGCATACACATGCGAAGAATTATCTAGTCATATTTAACATGAGAGGGGAAATAACCCTTTAGATACTCTTCCAAAATAGTTTTCCTTCTCAATATTAGATAAAAACTCTTATGCTTTTTAAACATTACCAACAACACACTCCTTCCTTCATCCCTACTTAATGTTGATGTATATTTCGACGACATCATTACAATCAACATCGAAATCTATAGTATTTGTATTGTAGTATTCAATAGGGTGACCTTTCTATAACACTATTATACATGCATCATACATTTTATATATATATAATCAACAGTGTTTTTTCTTCATTTGCTTATTGTTGTAGCAAACTTTTTTTGTCATTTGCTTATTGTTGTAGTTAACTTTTTTTTCTTTATGTATATTTTATTTATGTATAAATTTAGCTTTCTTAACGAGATTGTGTTTTTTATATAATTTGATCAGCATTTATATAAAAATAGGATAACTTTTATCGATATTGGAATCCAATATTAGTCTCTTGTAAAAAATTGTTTTTTGTCTTCCTAAATTTATGTTATGTGTATTCTTCTTTTTTTTTATTATATTTCACGTATTAAAGTTCTAAATTTATATATTATAAAAAAAGTTAATTTATAACTCACCAATGATAATCAAGATAAATCTTGAAAAAACTTTAACTCTATCAATTAATTTGATTAAAATTGA